GACGTGTTTTACATTAAATATCATACAAGATTACTATGCCATTGTATTGTTGAATCCGTTTTACCACTATTACCGTCCATTTCCGGTGGTACCACCATGTATAAATGGTGTAAATTGTCTTACATGACCTTTGCAGAGATATTAATATCTTGTCAGGAATCCTGGGAGAGCAGTAAGTGGTGACAATATCAAAAACGCTCTCTTCTGCTCCCTGGGTTTAATATTTCCTTGAACAGTCTGACACGAGACGTGCTGAGATACCACATCTTTATTCGTAAAGCTCAAATTGGCCCATCATTATCTTTTAATTACCACAACCCAATATTGGGCCCTATTATAGACAGATAATTAATCACGTATAATGGTGCAATAGGATATTGTGATTGGGGCAGAAAGGTCGGGACGGGGTTATTTTGTGCAAACAGGGAGCTAATAGCAACTCTTCTGAGTTTCATCATTTGCACATGAATACACTCTGAATAATGGATGAATAGCCGTGTAAAGCGGAGATGAAACCGGCGGGGACGCTTTTATCGCCCAGCATCGGGTTCCTGAAGCACTAGCCTCTGTTCTGTGTGTGTTTGTCCAGCGATGTTCATGTTTACTCACCGAGAGTTACAGCGAGACGCGTTTATAAGCAGCAGTTCACCACGAAATAACAGTTCACAGCAAGGCCTCATTTGTTAACTTTCGTTTATGTGTCAGTTGACATGAACTAACTATGAGCACTGTGTTTTTAAAGCAGTTATTAATCTTGGAACATTATCCATCCATCTATCTATGACTTATGCAATGTGCCGAATCATATTAGAAACATATCATCTATCTATCTATTTGAAACCACTAAACTAAAATGTAAAACTTATTCAAACTTAAAGGTGCTATATGTAAGATTTTTCTTGTATTAATCATTTTTATATTGCCAATGTGTAAACAGCTTGTAACAAACTTTTACAAAAAACAAATAACCGGGATCTTCCCTGACTTCGGTTGTCTATGAAAGCCTGTAGACGGACTTTTATGTCAAGATTTCGGGACGTTTTTGCCTGGTAAATCAAAAGCACGTGACGTGACTGTGTTGCTAATAACAAAATCAGCTTCTGAAACCTTTTAAACTTCGAATTGTTCATTCTTTGTTCATGACAGTTAACTAACCAATGTTAACAATTACAACTTTGGGTTTATAAATGCATGTTAAATTATTGTATTGATAAATGCTGTATAAGTATTGTTCATTATTACTTCATGTTAACTAATGAGAGAGCTAATTGTAAAGTGTTGCCATCAATCATTTACTCCTCATGTTGAAGCAAACCCATGCAACTTTCTTTTCTGTATGGAAAACAAAAGAAGAAATGAATGCCATTCTTCTCCATTTTGATAGTAAATGGGCACTGCCATAGCATATCAAAATATCATAATGACTGTCATATGAATTACGATAGCTTTAGCTTTGTGTGAAGAACAGACTAAAAACATCTTCTCCTCCAACGTGAACACCTGAAAGGTTCTTCAAAACTCATATGGATTGAATTATTGGTGGCCGAACATTATTGACGTATCTGACAGCTCAAACGGTGGTGAATTTTTCCATATTTTCAACTTTTCCTTTAAATAATGCATATTTTCCAAGAGTAACCAGACATTCAGAGAGCACCAGCTGGCACTGAAGCTACAATTATTGCGGATGCAACTATTTTTGAATCCAAATTTTGAATCCAGATCTCCTCGGCTGTTGTTAAAGCACTGCGCGGTCCCTGACGACATATTTTCCATGGCAGATCTGGAAACAAAATGTTCTTCCACACATTTGATTTCAAATCCATGTTCTGTCCCATCAATATTAAAGTAAAAGTTTGAAATGAAACTTCTGCCGTTGTTTACTCCCCCCTCACGCTGTTGCAAACTCATACTCTGTTATATTTTCTGATAATAAAGTGTCCTGTGAACATGACTGTGAGTCTCCTCTCCCGCGTAACCTTTGTCGTCGCTGTTGTTTTCTTCTTCTTGCCCATTGTAAACAGCAGTAATCACAGTCTAAAAAGACCAGAGGAAATGAACAGCCTCTGGTTGGCTGTTGTCTGCGGCGCCGTGGACCGGAACGCTTTAATTAGAGCCGGACTGCTCAAGCGCTGCTGCAAATAAGGCAAACGCAACACGTCATCTTCCTCTGTGCTTCTCGGGTTGTGTTATGCACGTGGCCGATGCATGCATACGAATTTAAAATGATACTGTAGATGTTCAAATGAAAAACCCTGCATGCTAATAACACACAGTGCCATATTTACTCATTTTTAAAATCTTAATATAATGTCTCATGCGAGATGTGGAGATGTGCAAACAGCGTTACAGACACTATTGCTTTAGGCAATCTGGTGCGACAGCATGTGCAAATAAACTGCGAATCCCTGATTTCAAGATCACCAGCTACAGAAGGCCATTAATGAATCTGGAATATTTTCATATTCTCTTTGGAATTATAAAATCAAAGCAAATGCTACATTAATTAGTATGAAAAACAGATTTTTTCATGAACACAAACTGCCAAAAGCAATGCACACATGCCTCTAGTGTTTGCCACGGGGTTTCTCGTTCTCGCATCGATTGGCTGGATTCACTCGCTCTGTTTTTGCTGTAGTTCACACACCTCTCATTTAATTTATTAATATACATGTATTAATAATTTAGGCATGCCAGCTGTGCTTCCAAAGTATAAGATTTAGTACGTAAAAATCAATTCAATGCAAAACTCAATAGTGCAAAGATGTTTAAAAATGTATAAATCTGATTTGTATCATTTAAAACACTGATTCACAGACACTGTGTGTATTTTCAGTCACTCTGATACACAACAAAGCAATGATTTGTATCCTTTATTAAGCCATTTCTGATAACAAGCTCAAACGTAATGCCGAGCCGATCGTCCTACAGAAGTCGTGGAGACGTCAGATTGCCGAGATTGAACAGAGAGATGTGTGTGTAACTGTTATGTTTCCGCTTTAGCATCAGTGAATATATGATGGTCCTCGAGTTCTGGATCTCCATCAGCATTAAAGAAGAAGCACATCTCCGCCGTCTGTCGAAACTCTTCACCTTAAGAGGAACGAGACAGCCAGAAGTTCAGCATCTATTTTTAAACATAATGCATCTCATAAAGCATGTGCTCAGTGTGTTCTATTGATCGTATTCACACTGAAAAAAAACCTTCAAGGTTAGTAAAAGAGTAAGAAGTGCTTTTGATACTTCAAGCTTGAAATGTTCCAGAAAAATGACAACCCTATCACATTACTACTGCATGCATAATGGTATTCATATTTAAATAATTGCTATTTCTTTAAAAATGTGACAGCCTTGAAAATTGGAAAGGCCTTGGGTTTTGACATCTCGTCTCCAAACCGATTCTTCAAAAAGAAAACGGAAACGAAAGTCAAGGCTAAAGCATCGCTGGACATTAAACATGGACGGCTTCTCTAAGTTGGAGCCGATCAGCTTTGATGACTTTGAAATTCGACTTTTGAATATAGTGAAATATTACAGTAACTGATAAGGACAGCCTTTAACTGTCCATATAAGCTCCTGGTATCCGGCGATATATTCCTCGCGGCCAGGCTTAATGCACACAGCGATGTTCAACAAAACTATCTGAAGATTGGCTTTTCTTTCTCTTTAATCCTGTGACACTTGCTCCGGCTGGGAGGTGAAGAAGTTACAGAAGACACGGGGAAGTCTTCCTCAGTTTGCCCTCATCTATCTATATCATTTCTAACGGGAAACCAAATCACAGAAAGAGCCTGTATAGGTCAGACAGAACACACACAATCTCTGTAAACCTGCGACCGCAAAGAAAACAACAACTATCTGTTGAGTCAGAGAAAAGAAGAATACTTTTTTATTCAGCAAGGATGCATGAAATTGATCAAAAGTGACAGTAAATATGTTTACAATGAGATTATATTTCAAATAAATGCTGTACTTTTGAACTTTCTATTCATCAAAGAATCCTGAAATAAGAATGTAAATAACTGTTTTTAACACTGATAATAATCATAAATGTTTCTTGAGCATCAAATCCTCATATTAGAGTGATTTCTGAAGGATCATGTGACACTGAAGACTGGAGTAATGATGCTTTGATCACAGGAATAAATTACACTTTACTATATATTCACACAGAAAACAGCTGATTTACATTATAATAATATTTCACTATTTTTACTGTCATTTTTAATCAAATAAATGCAGCCTTGGTGAGCAGAAGAGACTTTCATAAACATAAAAAAACATAATTATTCCAAACTTTTGAAAGGTAGCCATTAATAAGCAGTCATGGAAACTTCTCAAAAGTGAAAACCATTTTAATTTACATACGTAATAAAAGACAGGCACAAGATATTTGCAATAAATCCTCCAATTATTTTGGCACATTTCAAATTCAAATACATCCAATATGCAAAGTACCTGACGAAATGATATATAAAAAACAGAGTTTTAAAATGCAATCTGCGTTTGATTCCAGCGGTGTGACTTACAGACGTGAACACTCGCGATCTCAGCGTGTCTCATATGCACCATTTGTAGTTTGCTGGAGCTTAAAGCTGCTGTTCCATCTAAATTGCTCCCTGAAGTTATTGGATTTCTGCAGACGCTGACAGCTACAAGCTTCTTCACGGGCAGGCATTAATTAGAGCGCTGGTAAAGAGGAGCCAGCGCTCTCCTGGTCGGAGATGCTTTCTTAAGCTACTCACTTTCTATTATTTCAGAGACGTTGCGTCCGAATGCAGAGCTGGAGCCGAGAGCTTGTCAGAACCAATGCTTTTCCCTTTAACAGGTTCTGCATGCCATTACAATCTCATGCCAAACGTCTCAGATCCTCCAGGACACGAGATAGACCCGGACTCGCGATGATATTTAGAAGCGAGTGCAGAATATGAAGGGAGGTTTTCCAATGCATTTACAGATCTGTCCAATTCTGCGTATGAATCAATCAATGCTTGGTTGGGTTTTCGAGATCAATGGTGGAACGTGAAGTCAGTCGTGGCTCTGTTTCGGCCCACATGCGGCTTCCCTCATGCACACGGGAATCAAACTCAGTGAAATGTCAAAATGTAAAGTTCTGCTATCCATGCGTGAAACACGCAAGTTGAAATCCCTTCTGAAGCGCTGCTGGATCGGAGGAATGGTGTGTGTGTGTGTGTGTGTGTTCGTGTCGCTCACTGACTGCCGGCCGCGGATCTGAAACAGAGAAACACACACTTTACGAGAGGAGAATCAGCTGATCTCAGACGCTTCTTTAGTTACAAATGAAAATTATCCCTTTATTTACAACACAAATGAAGATATTGTTAATATCACGTTTCCAAGCTTTTATTCACCATATTTGCTCCATGCATGAGCTCTGATCACGTTTACGTGTGAATACATGAACACAAATCTGTCTCTTCAGAACACTAATTAAACAGCTAGATTCATATGCATTATTTTTTATGATGTATTTATGAACATTTTTAAGCATGAGAGTTTGGTAGCGTCGGCTGTCAATGGAGGGAAACTTCTCAGGTTTCATTCGAATGATCTTCATTTATGTTTCAAAGATGAAGTCACACACAGGCTTGGGACTATAGTGCAATATCATTCTTTAATCCAGGGTTATTATAGCAAACCAAATTAAAAATAAAACATTTTCGTTAGTAATAAATGTTAACTGAAAAACAATCGTTTTAAAAATCTTTAATAAAAATGTTACTTCTGTTAGTTGCCAAAGCAATATTTCTTATGTTCGTTTAGTTTAACCTTGTTGTGCAAAAAAAACTAAAACTAAAATATATCTAAAATAAAAATAATAAACACTAGACACATTTTTAAAAACAAAAACTTGAAAAAAAAATGCTTAAAAAAACAAGACTCAAATGTTAACTAAAGTAAAAATGAAAACATGAAACAGAAAAATTGTATAACCATAGATGACAAATGTGCGAAATTTCAGGCTATATTTTCCAGGACAGTAACCAGTATTTTTTGCAAGAGATGGTAAAGGCCATCATTTTGAATTGAAAATAAACAAAACATGAAAATAAACAAATAATGAATTATATTCAGAGCTGCAAATTCACGTTTAAAGCACAAGAGGCGATACCTGTGGTACCGATAGTGGAGCTTTCTGGCGGGCTCTGTGGTGCCTGATGTAAGATGAGTGATCGGCACCAACACAAATACTCTTATCTCGGTGAAATCTTGACGGATTTACAAACGGTTTGGTTTATTACAAACGTTATTAACGTGGCTATAATTCTGGTGTCATAACTACATCTCTGACATTTATAACAAACCAAACCGTTTGAAAATCAGTGGAAAATTGAGCAAGTTATGGTTATTTAAAAAGTGCATGCACCATTAAAACACAATGTTAGGAGTGAGCGAGCTGCCTGTGACAAGATGGCCGCCAGTGCGGACGTCGACCTCCATTGGCCAGCAGCGCGGACGAGACATCTAGCCTTTATTATGGATATCTATGCCTATTAGACCCCCGAACAAAGACGTAATAACAGAGAGGCTTTATTTAAATATTTGGAGAACACAGGTTTAATTAATAGGATTTGAGAGTCCAAATCTGTGAAACCTGTTCGACTAACAGGGCCTGGCCAATTTAAGTCCAATTTTTCACATCATTCCTCACGTTGCACAAATGCCGGTGGTGTCTGGTGGATTAATACTCAGTGTTGTTCTCCTTTCCTATATCCTATTCACGAAATTGAACATTACAATAAACTATAACTGGGTAAAGACGGCCAGCCGGTACTGTAGCTCTACGAGTATTAGCGGTTAAATGTCCAAGTCCACTTGATGAAGATGAACGCACTTCAAAATGGCTTTTAAAAGCCGGTTGAGTTTCTCTTCAAAGGCAAAGTTTGTGTCAACACAACCTGGAGATGCTCTCGTGAAGCGCTGAACTGAAGCCCACAACATCTCGGCTTTCCCGTCACCACGAGACGCCTTTAAAAGACCACAGGCTTAGATGGCTTTCATTAGGCAGCCGTTCTCCAATCTCATCCAATCACGGATCCCGAAAGCATTACAGCAGGTACGCCAAACTTTTAATGCACTCAGCTGCACTTCATTCCCCGAGGAGCGCTAATGCTGCGAGAGGAATAGCTTTAAATGCATCATTAAACCTGCCAGAGAATTAACTTGGACAGAACTTAATTATGTCACACACAAGGCCCTGCAACTTTAAGATTTGAGGAAAACCAATATTGCAGGCTGGAGAATGGAGTTGGTTCGTTTAGATATATAATTAGAGGCAATCAGCCATGTTCCTGCGGTGTGTGTTGAGACTGAACAAACAGAAAGATTTCACACACAAAATGGATCCTTGAGCAAAAGAAGCGTGTGGAGTTTAGAGTCACGCTGAACACAGTCAGTCTGAAAATGTGCTTTATTTTGGTGCGCTCAAGCACATCTATGAAAACGCATTGGTTTAAGAATAAAAATGAATGTGTGACACAAAAGAGAAAGAGATTTTCACTGGATATTTCCCTCCAAATCAATCATTATGGCATCATTTCACATTTAATTCCCATGTTTCGAGTCAGAGATGAACAGCGTAACATGACCAGCTCAGATCTTCTGAACACGACGCAGTCTGTTAAAATAAAACGGATGCGTTTCGGAAGTCCTTTGCTTGGCTGAAACGCTCCTCTTCGCCTGTCGAGCCCACACTGCTCATCTTGAGTGAGATTCGACTCGATCTGACGGCGGGCGAAGGGAACACATCGAGTGAAGCTCAGGCATGAGGCAGTGACTCTTTCTCTGTCCCGTCATCCATGCTCAAGTCATCCGGAGCGCCTTGAGAGATTCCCGACTGTCTTCCGGATCCTCAGGGTTTGCAGGCGACGTGAAGTCTCAGCACAAGTGCATTTCTGTGTGTTTCCCGGGCCTGAACGCAGACTCACGGAGCCGGTGTGTGTCATTCTCCACGTCAACAGAGGCGACTTTTATAAGCACATGTTTGTTTTTATCTGCACAATTTGTGCAGCTTCTAAAGGCATTCCTGTGTGTTGAACAGTAGATCGCGGCGCTAGCAACGCCAAGGCCATGGGTTCGATTCCCAGGGAATGCACGGACTGATGAAATGCATACCTCCAATGCAACGCAAGGCTTTTATGGATTTAACTCTTTCCCCGCCAGTGACGGATTCTCCATCATTTATGACACGACGCTTTTGGCAACTTAAAAAAAAAAAACGCTAGCAGGGAAAGAGTTCAAATAATGTAACGCTAGTGATGCAGAAATTACACTTTACCTTTAAACATAATATAAATACATTCATATTAGAGAAATGTGTATTAGATTACAGTTTATTTTAGAAAAATTGGTGTAGAAAACATTTTCACTCAGAAATTGCTAATTCTCAAATACTTACAAAGTGGCAAGTACTGCAACACATTGAGTTAAACATGACATTTTGAAGTAAAAAGACAGAAACAGTATTTTCTTTTAAAACACACTCCAATAAAACTACTAGAGTGCAGATAAATGCATTCTCACCATTGTTATTTCTATTGGTATACATGGTTTTTGTTCATATTTTTTAATTAAATTTAAATTTCAGTGTTTCAGTTTTCAAAACTTAAAATTTTTCAGCAATTTTTGATCTTTTTTTTAATCTGTCTATATATATATATGTGTGTGTTTTTATTAAGTTTTACTTTATTTTGTTATTTTAGTACTTCAACGTGAACTAAACAATGTTGACTTAATGGCTGAAATAAAATTTGTATATTTGTATATATATGTATTTATATTTAAAATGTGTACTTTAAAACTAAAAGATTTTCTTCACTTCTATTTTCTTTAAATCCTGATTCTCACTATATGGTGTTTCATTATTACATTTATTCATTTGGCAGATGCCTTTATCCAAAGTGACTTATTCTCATATTCTTGAGAATATATATATATATATATATATATTAGTGCTGTCAAACGATTAAAATATTTATCCGCGATTAATCGCATTAATGTCATAGTTAACTCGCGATTAATCACACATTTTAATCTATTTTAAATGTCTCTTGATTTCTTTTTGTCCCATTATTTTTTCTCATTTTAATGCTCTTATCAACATGGAAAAGTGGATCAGCTTGCTTTGTGCAAATGTTTTTTATTGAAAACATCATTGGCTTATACTGTGTTCAATTTCACACTAACATTCTCACTTGGAGCAAATAATCTCTCACACAATGTAACACTGTGTGTGTGTGTGTGCTTGGCAAATATTTAATGAATTCAATGCATTTAAAAATGAAAAATATTTATACATATAGGTTTGATATTTCAAAGACTCTGGAAAGCCCACATATGTTGTGTCTACAGTTATTGGTAATCAGACTGCAAAAGAAATTTCTAGAAATTATTCTAATATTATTTTTTTACAGTTTTTCTCAAATGCTAAAACACTAAACCCTATTGTCTGAACCAAATGCTCAGTTGCCTGAACCCACTGATTGAATCAATCACTCTTTTGGCAAAACCATAAGCACTTTTCACCTGTTTAGACACAACTTGCCAACACATTTTCATTGTGATGCACCCGTGCTGCATAATGGTGAGCACAGGTGACAAAAGTCAAACACAATTAAAGCACAGGTGTCACCACTTGAACACAACAACTCAAAATTGATCACACTTGTGGCTAATGATGTGAGGGAACATATACAGTAAGCCAGTTCAGAGGGCACTGGTTTGTGAGGCTCTACAATGGATAGAAATCTGAGAGGAGGAATTCGTGTGAGAGGAGGTCGAGGTGGTCAGCGAAGACAAAGAACAGTAATATCTGATGAAATCAGAGCTACTGTGATTGACCATGTTCTTGTCCATGGTATGAGGATGAGGGAGGCTGGACAAAGGGTACAACCAAACATCAGTAGATTCACTGTGTCCACCATAATCCGAAGATTTAGAGAAGAGAACAGGTAATTAACTTTTTTTTGACATTATATACAGTATGTAAATGTTGACAGCAATTACTGTATGACATACTATATACTATACCACAGTATACTGTAAGTAAATATATGTTTCAGTACATCACTGTACCAATGTACTGTAGTATTGTAATGGAGGGTTGGTCTAACTGTTGTAGGCCTAGTATTCCATGTATATTTTTTGTAACTCCATGTTCTCTCTTTGTAGAATTGAAAGACCGCCACGTGGGGGTGGGAGGACAGGTATGT